GTCCCATGACTATTCATAGATGGTTTATATATATCATGAAATAATCCCATTATATATAATCCTTAACAGCTATAATGTGGGTAAAACAATGCTATAATTATAGACCACACATGAGTGGGAATGGCAACCATACCACCAATTAATTTATGGTGATGACTGGGGGATGGTTATGGTTTATGGCATTGTTTTACCCACCTAACAGTGTCCGTTTGGAAAAGATGTAGAGGGGTCCCAAATCTTCCTTTGGGGGGTTACTATAGTTATAACATGTTATAAACAAACTTACCTCAGCAGTGTTCAAAACCAATTTGCGCCTCAAAACATACTGGTTGGTTGAGAACGGGATTCCCCGTTCATGGATTGTGATCTTTGCCATTATTATACAAAGGCTCGTAGAATTCCCGAACTAATCATCTACCAAGTGGAGTGGATTGCAGACACTGCTCACTTATATTTCAGTTGTAAGTGGCTGTATCACCAGTGGTTATAGATCCAATAGTTTCCTAGAATATATTTGGGTTACCTAACTATTGCAAACAAACATATATATATATGATATATACATATATAATGTAGTTATGTAAATATATATATATATAATGTAGTTGTGTAAATATATATATATTATGTATATCCGTTGTTTTTATCTACATATCCAATATTTAAGTACTTCGCCCAGCCCCGTCCATGGCACCTTTCACGTTCTCCGTAGAGTTTGCCAAAGCTCGTAGAGCTGCTCCCTTGGTAGCGAAGCTGGGTATTTGACCAGCAAACACCGGTTCTTTAAATGGGCTTTTATGGGATTCAATGGGATTTAATGAGATTTAGTTAGCCAAAAGTTGATTTATAACTTATAGCCATAGTGGACCATAGGTTATTCAAATTTGTTAACTAGGGTGTGTGGTAGATATATCGAACTAGTTGATGGGGGTTGTAAACCAACAAAAACGTAAGGGTTTGGGGGAGCCCACCTTGTAGTCAACCCTGGCATTTGAACATGCCCCATTTCTCTAAAATTGTCTTATCATATTCTGGTTGGTGGTTTTAACCATCTTGAAAAATATGAGTTCGTCAATGGGAAGGATGACATCCCATATATGAAATGGAATAAAAAATGTTCCTTAAACCACCAACCAGTCTTTGTTTTGTATTTTACTTCCAAGGTCAATAGCATGTTTTTCATCTGTGATTGGAAGCCTTACAGATAGACCGGAACTGTTCAAACAGAACGGATCCAGATGATCTTAGATGATCTATGATGATCGATTAGACATTTATCACCCATACAGATCCATGGATCTATGAATTATACCCTCTGCTAAACTGTCACATAACTATGGAAATATCCATCATTTTTAATGGGAAAATCCACTATTTCTATGGTCATTTTCAATAGCTATGTAACAAATTACCAGAGGGTATCTGAAACCCACTGGATCATGTGGGTATTCATCACCCATACCTGGTAGGTATTTTTTGGTACTTCGATTTGTTCACACTGCCAGGAAGTCGACCATCGATTTTCGTCCAAGATATGTTGTTGTTTTTTGTAGATGGAGTTGGCGCCACAGGCTTTTGTAAAGTCCAAGATATGTTGGTAGGATCTGGTAGGATCTGGTAGGATAGGTGATTTTGATTTTGCAGACGTATCTTGCAGGGTTTGTCTGTACAAGTTGAATCCAGTTGATGTATGAATTCACCAACCCAAAAATAGCTGTTACCAAGATTCCAGTGACGTCACGAACTGGGTGTCTGCAGACAGCACAAAGATCGATGTTTGTTGGATAACTATGGATAACTGGCCAATAGACACGGTCCTTTCCTTGGGATCTCTCGTCGTTGCCTTTGCAATCCTTGTAATCCCACTATCCCAAATTTAACTGCTTGCAAACCCAAATGTGTGCTGATTAACATCTCCATCTTTGGTGGTGGTGATCGAAGTTAAACCTCACTTCACTTATTACCCCACAAAGCATAGAGATGTTTGGGTTATACTCCAGTCACTATCCCAGAATTGACTTTAGGGGGAGCTTTTAAAACCCCTAAATGTGGCCGACAAATCCATGATTGGGCTCTACTATCCATCGTGAATCAAACATGGCTTCCTGAGAAATCATCCATGATACCCTCTGGTAAACTGTCACATAACTATATGGAAAGATCCACCATACTAGTAGCTGGGAAAATAAACTATTTCGACTGGGCCATGTTCAATGGTTTTTTGTATGTTTACCAGAGGGTAATTGGTGGTCATGGAAGTCCATCATCGAACTCTCCATGGGATCTTCCTCCAAATTCCTCGATCCAAGTGACAGAGGTCTGCAGTAGATGTAGACCACAAGCCTCTCCCTGGGCAAAGTTTTCCGATGGTTGTCTGGTGCAAACGAAAAGATGGTAGTTTCTCCATGGATCCAGGTGTGATCGGTGTGATGTTTGTTGGGTTTGTTGGCTTAGAACCCCAAGAAGCCTAATAGATCCTAATTTGGTGAACCAAGTTACGAAAGGCCCACATCGAAAAGAGCTATCGTTCCAACAGAGGCTCACCTTCTAGCCAAACGTCTCAAGTGATGTGCTATCAATAGGATCAATGACTCCCAAGAAATTCTGGAGAACAGACATCCATCAGCAAATCAACAAAGCAAAAAAAGGCAATCTGACACAGAAGCTCAAGCAATTCTTTGACATACTATGATGCAACCGGATTTTCTGGACCCTCTTTGAGCCTGGCATTGGTCGTCCTCTACCAGAGCATCCAGCGAAAATCCCAGAGTTCCCCAAAGGGACAGCAGCAGAAAAACGCTTTTCATCATGAGCAAACCTAGGAAGAGCTTGGTTGGAATAAAGGACATTTGGAGGATGGTTTGACATATCTTTGTTGTGAGTATATAAATGTATATAGCATTATCATATATATATATTTATTTAATTGAACTGTTATCGTATAATATATGTTACTATAATATATATATACATATTATATGTTATTATATAATTCCATATAATTCCTATATATTATATTCTTTGTGTTTATACATGACATATTTCATCATAATTTCATATGTTGACAACTGGATGGCCGGAGATTTGTTGCAACATGCGCCGACCAAGCAACGGAGGACCAAGCCACGGAAGCCACGGAAGCCACGCTGCGAGCGAGCCGAACTTTTCCGCCCACGAAGCTCGAGCCGAAGTGTGGTCCACAATTGTCATCTTGTGCTGGTTACCCATATGCGAACCATGGTGCTGGAATATGAATCCCAACATTTACCCCATTTTTATGAGCCAGTTTTGTAGGTAAATATACTATACTATACATGGATGACATGGAGCATCTGGGTTATGGCCATGTTAATCTTTATATATTTATCATAGTTGTATAGTTATGGAAAAAAAACTCAAAGATGTTCCACTACCTCAGGATGGGGATGGTCATAAAAATAGAGGTTTCAATTAAAATTTTACAGTGATATCAAGTTTGGGGATATTGAATCGGATTTGGAGCCAAACATAGTCAATCTATGAGTGGTCGCAACTACCAGTCCTGGACTGGCTCACCAAAAATCATGAACACATCACCAACGAAAACCAGCTTAAAATACTGCGGAACTCTTCGGCATATGGGAGCGGGTCCTTTCCCCATGATTGTCAATTTAGGTCAATTTTAGTGGGATGAACATCCAGCTATAAATTGGGTTTTGACCCACTAAACTAAAATGATGACTAAAATGATGACATATTTTTTGAGCAAAGTAGGTTGACCTATTTAGTGGGATGATTACCCTCTGGTAAATTAACATAGACCCTGAAAATCACAATTTTTTAGAGGAAACTAATCTTCCAACCCCTATCTACCAGGGTCTATGTTAATTTACTGGAGGGTATACCAGCTACTTTGGGGTTCACTAGGTAGGGCCCTGCCTCACTTCTTCACCGTCCTTCACCACGAAACGAATCCGCTGCGTGTAGTGCAAGCGCCAACTGCCGTGACCGTCACGTCGTCGCGGCGCGAAACAAAGGGATCCAAACAAAGTGGGGCCCCGTCACTGCGATAGCTAAGTTGACGCACATAAATTGGTGAACTGTTGGGTTTATGGAGGATAAAACGTGAACAACACTATATTGAGTTTATAAAGATTATAAAGGGCACACTGAATGGTTCTGCTTTCCAAAGAGCTACCAAAGTTGCAACCAAACAGGCTACAAATCTGCGCAGAGCTCCCAAACAGACTTGGAGGTTCCATTCTTGTACAGGCAACGCATACTGTACACTAAAATTCATGAACAAACTCCATGGTATTCCATAGAAAACCAAACTTAAGAAACATGCCTGGGAAATGACCTGCATCTTAATATATTACCGGAAAAAAATCATGAAATCATCTGTAGCAGCTACCATTTGGTTATTTAACATAGCCATGGAAAATCACAATTTTTAATAGGTGAACCATCTATAAATGGGCCATTTTCCATGGCTATGTTAAATAACCAGAGGGTATTACTCTGATGTTTTATTTTCAAACCTTGCCATTAACTCATATCAGGTATTAAGCAGATTTCCAAATTCCAACACCCGTTCCGCAGGTTCCGAAACCTTTCGATGAGGTCCCAGTCGATTCTGATTTAAAACTGCCACGTTTGGAGATGACTGCCATTACAATGTTAGATGTCCCATCTGAATGGTGGGACACGCCACCATTTTTAGACAAACCCAGGCATCAACACGCACACAACAGTCTGTTGAACCCAAAAGATGGTGGTCATACAACGGGAGGGCGAATTCCTAAATAAGTTGACGCACATGACTTGGTTGACTTTGGGTTTACGGAGGATATAACTATAGTATTCACGGAGTTTACAAACCCACTTATAGCCATCCTTCCATATATTCCAACCAGTCATAAACCCAATAGGTCGTAAAAACTTACCTGTGCTTGGTAGGGAATGGGATGATTGATGATGATTGTTATAATAGTGATTATGAGTCATTCCCCCATTCCCTACTAAGCACCAGATTGAGAAAACGGGGGAGCCCCAACTAGATTGAGATCATAAACCAACAAACATAGCCAGCTGGGTGAGCCCCTTCCGGCAGGACCCTTTTTCTCTGCTCCACCATCGCAACACAGCGAATCTACATCGAAAAACGCCCGGCTCACAGCGGGGCCACCCTGTGATGAAGCTTCCACTTCCATGCAAAAGATTGTAAAAGGGTATCTCTGAATGTCTTATTCAAAGGAAAACACATGTGCATGCACATACACTCAATTTATGTTTACAAGTGATTTTATACTTTACAAATAATAGTTCCAATAAGAAAGTATATAATACATACATACAAAATAACTTCAGAATATATTCAAAAAGAATCAACGGCCATCATAGGAATATCGTGATTAATCACATGTGTCTATAAGTGGTGAAAACGTAAACTAATTAAGGTCTATGTCAATAATTAGTTCAACATCACAAACCACACAGATAGTTTTGGGTGCCTAAATGGATTACGCAATGTGTGTATGAACGTGGAGATGCTCGAACGTGAGACACACACAATAAATTCCCAGTACGAAAACAAAGTATCGTTTTGTTAAGCTTTGTTAAGATTGCAGTTTTATTTCGACAAAATGATAAAGCAACATCTACCAGTCATGGTTAATGGTACATAGAGACATAGAGATCACCAAAAAAAATTACTTTACTTCGTGTGATCCCCACCATGACATTTATACATTTTCTTACTGGCAAATCTTCTGGCATTCTATCTGACATATCTTCTGACATTCTATTTGACATTCTATCTGGCATATCTTCTGGCATATGATCTGGCATATCTTCTGGCATATCTTCTGGCATTCTATCTGGCAAATCTTCTGGCATTCTATCTGGCATATCTTCTGGCACTCTATCTGACATATCTTCTGGCATTCTATCTGGCATATCTTCTGGCATATATTCTGACATATCTTCTGGCATTCTATCTGACATATCTTCTGGCATATATTCTGACATATCTTCTGGCATATCTTCTGGCATATCTTCTGGCATATCTTCTGACATATCTATCTGGCATATCTTCTGGCATATTTTCTGGCATTCTATCTGGCAAATCTTCTGGCATTCTATCTGGCATTCTATCTGGCATATCTTCTGGCATATTATCTGGCATTCTATCTGGCACTGACATATCTTCTGGCATTCTATCTGGCATTCTATTTGGCATTCTATCTGGCATATCTTCTGGCATATCTTCTGACATTCTTTCTGACATTCTTTCTAACTTTCTTCTGCACATTCTTTGTCCCATATCTTCCTACATGAGGTCCGGCAGGGAACACTTGGCGTGGATACTCGCGGTTGAGGTCCGGCAGGGAACACTGGCCGTGGATGGTCGTGGTTGAGGTCCGGCAGGGAACACTGGGCGTGGATGGTCGTGGTTGAGGTCCGGCAGGGAACACTGGCATGGATACTCGCGGTTGAGGTCCGGCAGGGAACACTGGGCGTGGATGGTCGTGGTTGAGGTCCGGCAGGGAACACTGGGCGTGGGGGGTCGTGGTTGAGGTCCGGCAGAGAACACTGTGGATCGCGGATCGCAGTTGAGCAAGGACGACGAGGACGACAAGGACGACAAGGATGACAAGGAGGACGAGGAGGAGGAGGACGAGGCAGGAGGAGGCGGAGGAGGAGGAGGAGCAGGAGGAGCAGGAGGAGGAGGCAACTGACATAAAATCTAACAACCCTCACCTGGTAGGTGGGGAACAACACGTGAACTGGGCCTGACACGTCCCTATGTATAGCCAAATGTTAACTCATTGCTTGATTATAACTTATCCAACCATCACATGGTTCAACCATGTTTTACCAAAACCATACTACGACAAACACTCTGAACAATGCTCTATGCAAAACCACCGGCAATGCTCTCCGCCCCAATGAAGTTGACCACCATGTCATACCATGTCCCGAACATGGAGGTGCACCCCCAGCCACATAGCCTTTTTTGACCTTGCAACAAGCAACTTTATGAACTTTCAAGGGGAAATCACAAATTTCAGGAGCGCTTTTGTGAACGAGCCATAACTTGGTGTCCCGGTCCCCTGCCGGTCCCCTGCCGGTCCCTTGCCTCAATCAAGTTCTGACCACGGTTTTGCTCACTCATCCTACTGGAAACCCAGTAGCCAAAGACGACAGATACCCTCTGGTAATTTAACATAGCTATTGAACATGGCCATTTATAGTGAGTTTTCCCACGAAAATTGTGATTTTCCATAGTTATGTATGCCCTGCATCTGGCAAATGAAGGATGGGTATCCTCTGGCGATTGATCCGATCAAAGAGCTTTGCTGGAGATTTTCAGCCATTGACTTCGACAAAAAACTCGCGTTTTCAGATCTCATTTGTGCAAGATGTATGTTCAACTGTCATGTTCGACTACCAAAGTGTAACTGGTCGGTCCGGATTCCCTGGCAGCGGACCTATACCACCGTTCCCTTCCATTCTCCAAAAGGTTCGGGCCGCTATTTTTGTGATCATTTACACATCCAGCGCCAAGGGTAATTGGTGGGCCAGTACCTTGAAATACTCTGGGTAAATTATATTAATATTTCACTATTCTGAAAGGCCAACTATTGTGATAGTTACCCGGAATCCTAACCAATATTCCAGGCTTCGGGAGAACACAAAGGTCGTGATCAAATTTACCCAGAATATCCCAGAATACTGTATGTGTTATGTTTTTTTCTTTTTAACACAAACATCTACAAACACATTTTGCAAAACGGTTTAACGCATTGACACAAACAAACATATTCATCTATAATTATTCATGTATATACCCCATGGATACAAACACTGCTTGAGCAGGCACTCAATCACTGAAAGCATACCCAATTTTTACGTGCCCTCAGAAGCTACGGCTGGATACGGCTGGATCCATATATTTATGATATCATATGATATCTATATAGATAACCCCGATAACAACTAGAAAGGTGATTCAACTCTATTTTATTCTAACAGTATTTCACTGTTCTATCTTTGGGGGGGTTGTCATTTTTGTTGCACGTCCTTTTTCAACAACAAGCAGCCTCGCCTCCTTCGAGCCTATGCTCAACATCACCTGAGAGTATAACCCAAACGTCCGAAGCTGGACACACTAAGCTTTCGAGGATGTTAACCACTATTTACTATTTAACCACCCTATTTCAACAAAGGTAAGAACACACCAATACATACCAATGCCAAAAACAAGAAACAAAACATCACCATGGGTGTATATGACTAAAAGTTGTTTATAGTAGCTGCATAACCCATTCGTAGATCAGTGCTATGATCTAACCTATACTGTGGATGGAAGAAATCCTGCACCAGTTGATAGGTGGTTTATCCCATTATTTATAGGGTTTTAACCATCCAAGGTGGTGCAGGATTTCTTCCACCCACCGTAGTACCAGTACCATTTGCTATGTATTGTTTAGATTCATTCATGATCTACAGTACCTATTCATGATTTACAGTACCCTAGCCTATTGTTACCCTTCAGAAACATGGCTAGCTGGAAACTACATGAAACTACCCCAGCTATAGTGCGATGATTTTCTCGGCGAACTAAACCACCATTTAGTTCAGGATTTTTCCATTAAATCCCATGCAATCTCCATGGTCCCAGCATTTTCCTAGCATTTGTCCAACATGTCTGTCGTTTCGATTAAACCCCAGCTAGCCATGTTAGTTCTATAGTTAGTCAAATTTGAAATTTTAATTCACCATGAAACCCACATAAACTTACATAAACCCACATAAACCCAGAACTGGAGAACTGAGGAGCCAGGCAGATTGCAAGGCCTTTCGCGCAGCCAGGCGCCTCTCCTGGGTCGAGGATCATCCCACGAGAAGCGGGTTGATTTTTGCTGGTGGACCCTGTTTTAGAAACCAAAAAAAGAGACAGCAAGGTAAACTCCAGATATTAGGATTTGAAATTTACAGATATTCCCAGAAATATATTTTAGAAGCCAAAGAGTGATCAATTAGATCATTTGTGAATTTCCAGATATTTCCAGAGGGATATGAGTCAAAAGCCTAGGTACCCTCAAAATAGCCACCGTATTTTGCTGGATGTGTATTCCCCCATCGCGGCCTCTTGGAGCAAGGCCCTTTGCATGATCTTCAAGCGCTCAGCATGAGATCTGGACTGTAACATCTGATGCACCTCAGATGTTACCCCTGAGGGCACAAAAAGATAGAAAAATAAGCATACTAAACTATATTTTGATTTAGTTGCCATTTTCTGATTTCACTTTTGGTTGGACTTCATGTTATTATATGTTGTTTATCTGTTCGGGGGTTGCGATAGACACCTCCATAGGAGTGGAAGAAAAAATGATCAAAACATCCCATGAACACGCATAACTTGCGACACCCGTTTTTTTTTTGTCCTCCGTTTCCGGAACAAACATGAATCTATATACCCATATGCTCCATGTATGGAATATTTACCAACATTTACCCCATTTTTATGAGCCAGTTTTGTAGGTAAATATACTATACATGGAACATCTGGGTATTGAATCTCCTCAAGGTTTACCTCGTTTTTCAGGTTCTTGCGTAGATGAACCACTGACAAAGATCGTCCTTTGGGATCAACATCGAAGCTTATATCGAAGCTTAGGGTCGTCAGCTACCTCGCCCAATGGCTAGGGCCGCTAGGGGTAGATCTTGCAATTTGGAACTAGAAAACCAAAGGCTGGATTTGGTTCATGTAGCAGCAACATCACACTCACACATCATCTTCAGCAAATCCAGGAGTCTTAGATAGTTACCCCTAACTAAAACTAGGGGAACTATATGTATATATATATAACAATATGTTAGGGCCGTTAGGGCTATAACCAAAATTTCAAAACATTGTGGACATTTGGCGCAGTGCGTTAGGGCCGGCCACAAGGCCATCTTTGCCCCGTCTAAGAAGCCCGGCAAAGAGCATCAAGTCGTCGTTAAGTACAGAGGCCTCACGAAGCCCATCCATCGATATATTTGGAGGTTTCCATAAATGGGGGTACCCCAAAACGGATGGTTTATAATGGAAAATTGATGAAAATTGATGAACATGGATGGTTTACAATGGAAAATTGATGAAAATGGATGGTTTACAATGGAAAATTGATGAAAGAAGGTAAAACTGCAGACTCCCTAGATGCGCAGATTGGCTTTTGGTACAATTGAAGAATCAAGCTTGCGGATACAAATGATACAACTAAGAGTAACTAAGTAATTTAGTATAAGTTACTTTGATGACCCAAACTGCGGATCCATGTCGAAAAAAGTCCTGGAAACGATAACTTTCACATGCCAACATGGCAGCTGAAAATCGCAGCGCCTCCTCCTCGAACTGCTCCTGCAGCCTTCGACGTCATGGAATGGCACTGCAAACTCTCGATCAAATTATTCGAATTGAAATGGCAGAGACTCAGAACAGAAAGTCACATTAAATTCAATAAGATCATCTTCTGAGTTTCCATTTCTTCACGGTCCAGCAGAATTTCAAGGCTGTCTGGACCTGTTTGGATGTTGAAAACCTAATCTCGGAGGCCTAGTTAACTATTAAAAACAGCATCAATCGTGAACCGGGTCATTGATTATGTACCCTCTGGTAATTTAACATAGCTGTTGAAAATGGCCATTTATAGTGGATTTACCCATTAAAAATGGTGATTTTCCATAGTTATGTGACAGTTTACCAGAGGGTAAGTGCCATTAAATCCCATTAAATCCCATTAAACCACCATTTTCTCTATGGTTTTCCTATGGTAAATTACACCTATAGGTCCATTCTCAAGATGCTTGTTGACGCAGTTTCACGGAATCATGGAATCCAGCCGTGGCCATCGTTGCCTCAATATCCAGATAGATTGTGGGCGAATCCAGGAAAGCAACCATGGAATCTGGATGAATAAAAATAGGAATAATCCATATATAATTAAGTGTATATATATATAAGTGTGTATATATATATATGTAAATAAGTATGTATATACTGTATATATATATATACATGTAAATATATATATAAGTAAATATATAATAATAGATAAGTAAATATATAATTACATAAGTATATGTACGATTAAGTATACGTATAGAATATCATGTGATTGTAGATCCTACTGCTACTTCTAGGTTGTTAAATTGATGATTAAGAAAAAATGTGCGGTAAAACCAGAAATCAGAAGTCCCAGAAACTAAGAATATATTGGTGTAATCTTACATGTCATCGCACATACTAATAGGGGGATAGTAGGGGTATACTGTACCCAATAATGTAGCCAATAATGGTAAATCAATGTAAATCTATATTGCAAGGGCTTGGTCGGCACAAAACAGTCCAGAATCAAGGCCGACCTAATGGCCCAGTACCTTTCCCACACAACGAGCAAGGAGACCATGGCTACTCCTACATAAACTTTGAGCTCTGTAGTGCATTCCTCCATGGCTAATGGTAACTCTCCAGTAAATAACATAGACCCTAACAGATAGGAGGTGGAAGATTAGTTTCCACTAAACATGGGTCAGGCTGCAGGGTCTATGTTTTGTGTTACCCGAGGGTAACCCATTCATCTCCATGAACCTGTTTGTTACATTCACCTGGCGATCTACCCTGTCAACTTGGCAATCCAAAAAAAACGCATCTCATGGTAGAAAATCATCCATGGCAAGTCCACTACAAATCCACTACTGACCAGAGTTCAAAACCTTGCTGGTTGATATTTATATGTATATATAAATAATATATATATATTATATAATATATAATATCATACATATATAATATATAACATATTATATATTATATATAATGTAATATGATATAATGTATATAATATAATATTGTCTAATATACATATATATATGATATAATATACAATATATATATAATATTGTCTAATATATATATATATATATTATACATATATATATATTTATATATATATTGGATTACCTGGTATATTGGATTATCTCTTCATCTGTCGTTACAATGCCCTCAGCAAATTGCTGAGTACAAAGCCCGAACGAATCATTGACCGTCAGCAATGGCTTGACCGATGGTGAAACGCCCGAAACTCGGGATGGCAAAGCACTCAGATTTTTTATGGATAAAATGAATGGTGAACATATTCATCATTATTACTACTAGTAATCCTCATTTTGCTGTAGAAAAATGGAATGATTTTGCTGTTATAAGTTATACTCTCTGGTAAACTAACATAACTATGGAAAATCACCATGTTCAATGGTTAAATCCACTATTTCTATGGCCATTTTCAATAGCCATTTTCAATAGCCATTTTGATTACCTTTGTTGATGCTTGAACCATCTTAAACCATCTTAAACCCATTTATTTCATTGCTAGAAGCCCATTGTTGATGGATCTTTATTCACTAACGCGATGAGCTCCGACGGCCCGATGGCGCCTCCAAAGTTCGCTGCGCGCGTTGCTCGGAAGCTCCATCAGATCTACCTCCTGGGGAAAATGAGGCGATTCAAACAATGCCATCTGGTTATTTAAAGGGGTTATAGTTATAGATACCATCTGGTTATAATTATTAATGGATTTATAGGGGTTATGATGGGTTATGTATACCATCTGGTTATGACTAACATAACCATGGAAAATCCCAACCATAAATGGAGGTTTATAGCTGGGAAAATCATCTATAAATAGGCCATTTTCATCCATTTTCAACTAAACACATGGAAATTAGAAGATGATTCAACTAAACAATTGGGGATCTGTCACCAAAAAAATGGTGTTTCGTTGGATTTGAGTTGGATGTGTCAGTTTGTTTTCGTCATGGGAATCTACAAACCTGCGCAGCCCAAAGAGGTGGACCTCCGAGGCTTTGGAGCAAATGGATGAAAACATGTTTCCAAACAAACACCACGAATCTACTTGCCCAATAAACATCAATATTTACACATACATCTGCACCTCGATGTGGTGACCGAAAAAAAACATGACCCAAAGATTCTATATCCCATATACTCCATGTATGTACAGTATATATATATATATACATCCCTATGGATCCAAACACTGTCTGAGAAGCTACTTAACCCCCTAAATCATACCTCAAGTACTTCCTAAGAAGGTACTTGGATCCATAGGGCATATATGCAAAGCATGATTTATATTCACCATCAAAATGATATATCGGCGATCAGATCGTCCTCGTACTCGTAGTCATCCTCATAGGGTTCGTAGGAACTCATGGGAGCACCTCGGGCAGCGGAACGTTGAACGTAAGCAGTGGAACGTAACTTGGGGGCGCAGGTCCAGTTATAACTGGACACATAACCATATTGGTTGTAGTTTTTTTTTATTATATGGGTTATATAGGTGTTATATATATATATCCAAACTTAGGGAGGTTAACTAGCAAGATTTACACCCGGTCATAATCCCCCACAGGCACCCCCAATTGGAACATGACTGAAGGTTATGATGGATAGGGTGTTCATGGGGATCCCCTGGCCATGGATCATGACAATCAACTGGTCATATAACCTGTTTGGTGGTTTCAACCCCTCCATTGTGGTTAATATACCTGGTTAATAATGGTTAATATTAATGGTTATTAATGGTTAATGATGGTTAATAATCTGGTTGGTGGTTGAGTTGACCTACCCCTCTGAAAAATGATGGACTTCGTCAGTTGGGATGACTATTCCCAATATATGGAAAAATAAAAAATGTTCCAAACCACCAACCAGATAATCATATAATAATATATATATATATATGTTATAGATCAATGTAGGTAGTACAACACCCTATAGCCCCATATAGCCCCTATAATAATCATCAACCACCTGGTGCTTGTATACTTACCTGCTGCAAATGTTTGAGACTGGGCAAAGTAGTGCTAGTTCACCAATAATGCACCATTCATTCCTCATAATTGTATCTCTGTGTATCCACGGGTAATGCATCCTAAGATACGGTCGGTGGTGACGTAACAATCAATGCTCTTTCTGTTCTTACAGAGTTCGTGTAGGATCGCTTTTACTCAGCTAGCAGAATAAAACACTATATCCCATAGGATCCATGTATGGTATATATGCTAACATTTGGGGTATATTGATGGTAAATGTTACCATATATGGCAGCACCATGGATCCTATGGGTATGGTAAAACATATACATTACCAACAAAAAAATACCGAGATTCTGGGAGGATGCTAAGAGTCACGTGGCTCCAGAAGCGTATGCTAAAACCACTGGCTGCACTGGCTTCTGCCAATGCAAGCTGTAGACCTTCCACAAGAACATATAGAACATATAGAACATTCCGAAAGTTCCATGATTCGTATGTCACGCAAATGCATGTCAGGTATGTCACACAATTATACACAATTCATGATGCCTTCTATTTGGAAGGCATGGAATCAACACCAATCAGGGCTGCCTAAATGACGAAGCGCGAAGCGGTGAGGTGAAATTCTCAGTATCGATTTGGGTTTCAGGGAAAAGGGCAATCCAAATATACATAATTGATCTATCTATTTTTGATGTATCTTGATGTATCTTGATCTATTATTGATGTATCTTGATGTATCTTGATCTATCTGGATCTATCTGGATCTATCTAATTATCTATATCTCTATCTATCTATCTCATAATCTTTTCTTATCTTGTCTATCTATATATAATATATATATATACATACAATGTAAAGTAGTATATGACTTACAGTACATGAATGCTTCCCAGATCTTCCCGGACAACCTGAAAAAACCAATTCGCGGAGGTTCTAAGCTGCCGTGCCACCCGGGGCATCCTTCACATCTTCATCCTCTGGGTCAGTGACACTGGTTCTGGCGGTTCTGGTTGAAATGGGCCAATGTCGATTCATGTGGCGAAAGCAAACATTTTTAAGGGATTCAACATGACTCAACGTTTTACCCACTAAATTGATCTTAATTTGGTATAAAATACCATCTGACCTGGACCTAGGGATTCAATTAATAAGTATGACATTCAATGGCTTGTTTTTTCGGAAAACTCAGGAACCCATGCTTTTGCCCCTCAATTCTAGGGTTTCCTGCAAATGTTCCCTTCAACCATTTTGGGAAGCGTGGTTCACCCCAGAACTAAGTAAGCCACAAGAAACATTGAGTGGGGAGTGGGGAGGTCACCACATCATTCAACCAAGGAACAAAGGGCGCAGTGCCTGCGTTGTCGTCATCTTGATCCTGCGTTGGCAGAACGCCCACGGGTATAGATCATCTGACCGGGCCGTCCGAGAAGGAAATGAACCAATGCCCTCACCAAACAAGTGCAGCAAGGCAAATGGTCATATGTTCCAACTTCACTTTGTTAACTTGGAAGATTGAAATTAAAGTCCTGCAGCAACTTCTGAAGAAACCCAAGACAAATCTAGTGTCTTAACCTGAAAACGACACACTTGTGACATCGGCTCCTCCAAATTGTACTTGCGATAGACCTGCAAAGAAACAAGTCAAGCAAAGAGGGCCTGTTCCAAGAGAAGAAATCCACCTATCTGGGGATGGGTCAATATTTGTTTAAGGGCATAAGCATCCAGAAACACTAGCTATTTTAAGGTGTTCACCAGCGCATACGGTGTATATGTCCTTACTTCAGAATGCATTGGCCCGCATCTTCAAGAACAATGTATGTTCAGAAAAGACACCCTGCCTGCTCAATGTCAATATCCAGGTTTTGTTCCTTTTCAGATTGCAGAAATTCAAAGTACCTGCATCCATTGGTTTGATTGGAGGGAACATCAAACCATATTTGGACAGCAGCTTTTCCCAGCCAAACAATTTACATATGAGGGGGGGTCCGGGGGGTCCTATAACTTTCGCCAATAACTCTAGGGATCAAGAAGTGTATGTTGCCTAATTCATCTACAAGTACCTCAGTAATTACTACAGATCTGTGCATCAGAAAAGCATGCCACCGGGCCGTGTATGGGCAACTGTGGCAACTTGTGTTCACCACCTGAGAGTAAGGTATTCCACTACATCATGGCTAGCTGAAACCCAGTGGTCACTTTGAATTTGAAAAAAAACATGGCCAATCAAATCGGTTTGTCTGAACATGTGGCAATTGCCGCGAAAATCGATGGTTTATGATCATGTTCCCTATAAAAATCAATGGTTTATGATCATGTTCTCTATATAACAATTTCCCAATTTTCACACCCAAAGCCCTAACACAGTCCAGATTGGCCACAGCTTCACCTATATACTTGGCGTGGTTTCTGCTCAAAGCCACCTGTCCTATAAATGGGATAATCCCCCTGTCATATACCTAGATCGGCTAATCGGCTAATCATCTTAACCACGTCTGCGTATTATTGGTACATCAACCGATTCTCCATAGTGAAGGTTTAAAACAAGTTCAGATGCCCACATAAATCATGAAATAACTAATGAATAAAAGATAGTCATAGACAAAAGAATGCAGCATACCCACCCCAAAAAAATACGGAACGCCAGCCATCTAAAACATTCTAAAATCTTTATGTTGCATAAGGTGGCCTCCCCAGTTATCATGCTCTCAAGATACACCACGAAGCATCCTAGGGAGGGCACTCGGCGAAAACATCCGCCAACGTCCAAAGTCCACCCTGCTCAGCGCAAGATGCGTTAGCATAGTCCTTGACCCGCCCGGGGCTACCACGTCAGGGACCGGGTGAGCTGGAGAACTCTCCATGTTTACTGGGGCAAGGTGGAGCCTACTAATGCGGTAAACCCATCAATAAACCATCCCGATCAAATCACCATAGGTGGTATGAACCATCCCCAAAGGGTAGGTTTATTGTTGGGTTGCCCACATTAGAGTTCATGGGGTTTACGAACCAACTTGGAACTGTGGGGTCCCACCGTGTGAAAACCATCGTTTCCCCATGTTTCACACTTTTCTGCACGGAACCTGAGACAAAAACATGGCTCGTTTAGAATTTAGATGTGTTTAGTGGGAGTCTAAGATCCATTCAAAGCCTAAAATCATCCCCAGCTCAGGGACCGGGACACAAATTGTGTTTCTCCGAGGATTTAGCTCGGAGAAATTATCATGGCATTCTTGGGCCATGGTCCCTGGTGAACATGATCTCTTTCAGAAAACCATGAAAAACATTCCAGGATAGGTCTACCCAGATGCTCCATGTATAGTATATTTACATATATTTACCTACAAAACTGGCTCATAAAAATGGGGTTTTTATGTTGGGATTCATATTCCAGCACCATGGTGAGCATCTGGGCTATGGTGCCATGGATCTACCACCCATGGTGAAATGTTCGTCAAATCAGTTCTCCATCAGAAGATCATCGTCGCCAAGAGGAAGGTTTAGCATGCCCTTCAGATTGGTTGCCAGTGGGATTCCCACAGTGGATGTTATACCAAAACACCAAACATCAGATCAAAAATAAAAAAAAAACATGTGCTAATTAGATAAATTAGATATAGAAAACACATGGTGAATAGTAAACCTTTTTTTGGATTATAGAGAATTTACCCAAACAACAACACCAGAAATGAGCTTTCCTACCGTCTTCGATCGTGTGTCCAAAATCAAGGACATGACAGAATAGCCAGCCATCTCCAGCCAGGGCTTTTCGGATGACAAACCCTGGGATTTGGGAGAACCATCTGTCGAACCCGCTGGCGAAGGCGCTAATGATCGGAGCGCCAAGGCCATAAAGTAGAAGTTGACAAAAAACGATTTTATGTAAACCACCAATGTTCCAATATATAGGGGTTACCATTAATTAAGAACTTTTTGGAGACGTTTTTTCTTTTTTGTTTAACGCCCTTGGCTGAGATTTTCGTTCATAGCTGGGAGTTCCAGGTTGACCCATGTGGCAAAAAGTGCACACTGGACACCTGAGCCACGATTTTTTTAACTCACACTGGTTGGTAAATAAGTATACTCTCCGGTAATCAAATGTGGCAATGGAACATCACCAATTTATGGTTGATTTTCTCATTAAAAGCTCCATTTAATTAGAGTGGATTTCCAGTTGCCATGTTTGATTACCAGAGGGTATCTCTCTATTATGGGATAGAATCCTCCCCAATAAGGCAGCCAGTTAGAAAGAAAGACCCTCACTTTTCAGGTCCATGTGAACTAGCCCTTTCTGCCAGCGACTTTTTGATCTTCAGTTCCTAGTGTCTGCAAGTATTCCCCAAAGATGTCAGATATTCCCAGCTGACTCTGGGCCGCCCACCGAAATGTGGCTCTCGAAGTGTGGACCGCCCATCTCCTATGAGGTCGTTGTAGATCCCTCGAATGAACAGGTTCTAGCAGCTTGAAAGTAGATGAAAGATGAAAGTGGATAAAAGTGGACCAAATATTGGCCAAATGTTGGCTTAAAATTGAAACTATGAATGGGAAATTGGTCCAACATACAGTTCCCTGGGACCAAAGCATAAAAAAGGACATAAGTTCAGCCCCATGTTTTTTCAGAGAAAACCTCCTGAAACCCCATCGACCTCCTGTCGACTAGCCAGGCGTGTGAGCAATGCCATCACCTCCTCCTGGGACACGGTGGGCACCAGGAAAAATGGGTGGGTTTGACCATGGCTGATTTGGAGGTTTCCATAGTCAAGGGGCTACCCAAAAAACGCTGGATGGTTTATGACATAGGACAATGCTAAAATGGATGATGACTTGGGGTACCCCTATTTTAGGAAACCACCATTTATCGAGGAAAACCAATACCAAGATGGCCAAGATCGGAGTTTCACCAGAAATGGGGTATCACTTCATAGACCTGAAACATCCCCTACTTACTACAAGTCTAAGGATGAAAGTGAAAAAAACTACATGAAACAAAATGCGGTATACCCAATTTCCAGAGTTATCTATGTAATCTTTGAAGATAGTTATCTGATCTCCCATCCATCCCAAAGAAAAGTATCAATTGATGTGAAATCATTCCCTCCGTTGGGATGAGCGATCCCCATGTAGGGCCAAAGGCTCAAATTGTGAAGGTCCACCCAATGATTCCCGCGTGGTTTTTGAGGTCCGATGCTTCGGAATTCTGGAGATGTTGATAGCGAGATATACCTGGGTTTGTAAATAATATAATCTATATAATGCAATATGTATAGTGATCAAATTATATCATGCTATAATATATATATATATATATTATATATATTATATATTATGGATGGATTATATATACTAGTATATATATATATTAATTGGTGAATTAACATAATCCACCACTCTGAAATTTCTCATGTTGGGGTAATTCGCCTTCACCATGTGCGCCTCGGTCCTGTTGTTCCTTGGCATCCTCCAACAGATCGTCATCTTCAAACGGTTCCACTTCTGCGCGCAGGTAGGTGGATGCATCCTGGACGGTGGTCTACCGCGAGCCATGGTTGCTGTTAATTCCATGGATCCCATCGAACTCAAAAAATTAAGGGTTGTCCAGCTATGTTTGATGAGGGTCATCTATGTACCATCTGAATTTGTGGAATATATGGCGTGGTATAATATATGATGGTATAATCTATGTACCATGGTTGATGGAATTTGTTTTCCTTGTTGGCACATCGTAGCATGCTACTTCTCTGATCACGTGGTCTCGGTCAAACTCGGCACCTGCTCACGCCAAATCAGCTGTTGCGTTTTTGCATGTGTCATCACTTCAAATACAGATGCAAGGGGGAAAGACTAGTTGGTCAATAGGAATTCCTCTTGTGTGGCTTAGATGTTCTTAGATCATGATCCCTCTCAAACCACGTGGTGTAACCCAGTCTAATAAGCAACCAACCATTATGTATCAATTAGACCCCATCAAAAAAAATATTCTTGGTGGATCTGAGACCATTGTTCTTTAGTACTCAAAAAACTGGTTGGTGGTTTGAACCCCTTTGAAAAATCATGGAGTTAAAGTTAAAGTTAAAGTCAGTTGGGATGATGAAATTCCCAACTAAATGGAAAGTCATTCAGAAGCCATGTTCCAAACATGTCCAAACCATCAACCAGAAAAACGTATTTGGTGACTGTAATCAACCAACAGGTGGCTACTCTCATGGCGGCCTTCCAAGCGCTAGGATTCAGAATCCGCCGGAGCCGGACTCGTTCGATGATGCGATGATTGCAAATCTCAGCAGCCGCTGCAATGTGAGGCCCCCAGAATAGCTAAGTTGGGGTTCACATAACTCCAATAACTATGGTTTATGGTACTTATAACTATAGTTACTGGGGCGAATCTAAACCAACTTATAACTGGGGGGGCCTCACATTGTGAGCCAAATTGCTTTCCAATTTGGGTCGACAATGAAAGTGGTTGAAATTAATTGAGATAACTTGGGCATTAATTGACATAACTTGGACATTAATTGACATAACTTGGACATTAATTGACATAACTTGGACATTAATTGACATAACTTGGACATTAATTGACATTGACATCAATTTCTTAATGGCTATTAACCTTTTAGGCTAAAGTATTTTCCACTGTTCGAAGGCAAGCACAGCTATACGCAGCAACAAGAACTAGTCAAGTGGACTATCATACCATTTAGATCCCTATAGAATCCTATGGATCCAAATAGTAAATTAAGAAACGGGAACCAATAATTTTGTAGGGGATGACATCTCCTCCCTACTTACCTGTTCTAGTGAGGTTGTTGGGATCTTCAGTTGTGTTTTTTTTCCAGGCATTGGTCCATGGTTATTTTGACGTATCTTATCTTATCCCAGTGCATTGGTCGCCATGGCATCAACCCCCGTTGTCCAAGTGAGGAATGGGATCCATCAAACGTGTTTGATCTTGTTTGGCATTGCAATCAAGCCGCGACTACCCCATGTCGAAAGGTTGTGAGTCAATAGCTTTGTTGGCGTCAAAATCACTGGATCACTACTATCACGACTTCCTCACATCGACACACAACCTGCGGTGGTTTCTGTCAGAATGGGGGTACCACCAAATCACACTATGGTTTTGGGGTCCTCCATTTTGAGATATGACTACAAGGTGGGGCCTCATGGTGAGCTAAGTCGGTTTTAGAACTCCAATTTCACGTTTCTTGTGGATATATCTAAAGTATTCTGAAACTAAATGGAGGTTATAACATGTTACAAAGCCACAAACGTATTACTAATATAGAGATCAGCACCTAACACCTCCATTCCCTGGTTCAAGCTACGTATTTCACTTCATCCCCCGACTCTTCAGAGACGTCTGTGAGTTCATCCAGGTAGAAAACGACACCAACCTGGAGATCGAAGGATCGAATCAATGGAAGCAAGTGTAAAAATCTGAAAAAACTTCCACAGGAAATGGTTCAACACCATGTCTTTTGATCATGTTTTATCATCTAAATACGGGGATTTCATTCAAAAAAACCATTCTCACCGAGAAATCAAGGATTTTCCGTGGGTTTTTCCTGCTTTTTGGATGAATCTCCTTCCGAAATCACCAATCTCTTACACGTCATACAGGTTGCAAAGCTGCCAGAACAGTCTTGATTGGGATGTTTCCCTATACATAGACAATTTATGATCATTTTGGATTTTGGAGGTTCATGGTGTTTTTTCTATGTTTCTTATTCTTCTTCAATCCAAAAGCTATTGATTTGATGGTTTCAAGCCATCTAAAACAATGTGCTGCTCGTCATTCAGGGCTCATCAGATCATCATCGCATTTCTATGGTTGAAACAAAATTTTACCCATGACACCAGCAAACAAATGATATATATATATATCCCCCTTCACCACCTTTTTCACCAACTTCATCACCATTTCCCCAATGATTTTGTTGTGTCCTTTGAATTTTGGCAAAATTGGGGACTTATTGGGAACCTCCATTGGCCTCCATTACATTAGCATTTATCCCCATGAGGGGGGTTATACCATACAACGTGTTGCGCCAGTTTATTTAGTTGGTGAAGATAACTAGGTGAACCGAGTGGTTTGTGGGCATTCCAACTTTGGTTGGAACTTGATACCACCTTGTATATGTGATATTACTGCAACCAACAATTCGCCTGGGAAGTTCCCCAGCCTGTCACAGCTCTTGTGGAGGGTAATAGTTTAATAGTCTTAGTTTATATGGGTATTGTAACTATATATATATGTATATATAGTTACCACAAGGTTGTGGTTGGGCCCTCCCCCCAGTTCTAACTGGGTTTCCATAGTTGTACCCTCCAGAAAAAAAAACAATCTGAGGGCCCCACCTTGCAACTTAAGCTACGCAGCTGGCAGCTGGGGACGTTACCAACTTAGAGTCAATTGTAACCGTTTTTTGATGGGTTTACCCTCTGGTAATTTAACATAGCTATTTTCCATAGTTATGTTAGTTTACCAGAGGGTATACTATAGAACTATGATGCCCTATGGATCCAGGCGTACCTTCAAAAAGGAAGTGTGACGCACGGGGTATGATGACGTTTCGGGGGTTCGCCGTACCTTCTCAGACAGTGGCCATGGATCCATAGGGATGATATACTATCCATAGTGTACTTATTCGGATCTTAAAATGGTTTTAACCATTCAAACCTCTTGGGGATCTTCAAACCATAGGGATGATATACCATGAAATAAACTCCACTGACTATCTATAAATCTATATCAGTTTATAATTTCTTCTTGGGTCACGTCAGTCACGTCAGTGGAACTTTCAGGACAAAATGGAGGCCAAATTTTCTGGGATCGCCTGACATAGGCCGTAGCTGTGTAGCCCAAACACATAGGCCGCCTATGTGTGCTAGGTACTTCCAACCTAGGTTCCTGAAATGGCCATTGACATCATATATATATAACATATATATATATAACATATATATATAACATATATATATATATAACATATATATATAACATATATATATATATTATGTATGTATTTGTATAAAGAAATATTATATATATATGGTTCCTGAAATGGCCATTGACCTTGTAGTGTCCACTTTTTTCCATGCCATGTCGCCTCGGCCACTCGCTCCTCCTCCGGGTGCGGTGCCACGACCACGAAGCGTCGTCCTCCCGAGACCAAAATGTCGTTGTAGAGCTGACGATACCTGGCGCACATCCCACTTAGTAAGTGGTGAATAATGGTTAATACCTGTATATTACTATGGTTTATGATACCTATATTATATATATACCTATATTATGAAGAGTGGGATAGTACCTCATACCGGTTTATATAGGAAACCCATGGGAAAATTGTGATTTCACCAGGAAACATGGTGATTTAATGGGATGTATAGCTGATTTATGATAGGTAAGTTGGGAACAAAACTTTAATCACTATGATTTATGATACATGTATGTACTTCTAACTAGAGTATTCATGGGGTTTACAAATCAACTTTTTGAGTATTTGCCGGGCACCAGAGGATGGGAATGGAGGATATGAAGGGAATATCTACCATAAACATCCATAAACCATATTTAACTAACCATAGTCATATGTTTTTTTTGTATGGGATAATGGGATATGTTTGTGTTACTTCTGCAGATTTTTGTTGTATACTTGGAGGATCATCCCACGGTCCTACGAATAGATGGGAGCTGAATGGAGACTTTAACGGATCACCGATGGGTTACCGTTGCCGGTACAGCTGGAAGTTCCAAAGGGGTGGAAGTTCCAAAGGGATTTGTAAAACCATGGTGATGACCTCCATTATCAGTGGGTTATACATGGTTAAGTTATGTTAAGTTATATGATTGGAAATATCCATCTTATAACTGGAACTGCACCCCCAAGTAATCCCATCCCACGATGCCCCAAGACAATTTTTCAGCGTGCTTTTATATGTTTTGGATTTTGGCGGCCAAAAAAATGACGTCATCCAGTGCATTCCCCAGTTTCCTTTTGAGGGATTTTGATGGTATTTACACATTAGAGGAAGGGATTACTTATATCATATATCATCACAATTGTGGATGTGTTGAACTTCGCTTGTTCACCAGGATTTCACTAGACACCTGTGTTGAACTTCGCTTGTTCGTTTTGATCCAATCTCCGAGCTCATGGAACCAGCTACTTACCCTTGCCGAAAACCTGCCATCCGGCTTGCATCTGTCAGTCTGAAGTATGGAATGCAAGAAACTCGTGTAAGGCGTACACCAGAAAATGCTGCTGGGATTCTTTAAGCATAGTTGGCCGTTGGATGTTGGCATTTTGTGGTACATGTGGGATTGGATCTCAATAAGCAAATCTCATCGTCAGAAAACGCGGAAATCGCATTCCGATCACAGGCGCGATCTATCCCAGATGCTCCATGTATAGTATATGTTTACCTACAAACTGGCTCATAAAAATGGGGTTTTTATGTTGGGATTCATATTCCAGCACCATGGTGAGCATATGGGTATCCTGGGGGACTATAAAAACAGATGAAAACGACCATCCTTTCGCATCCTTAGCGATTTCACCTAGAAGTATTACCATGTCGTATCACAAGCCTCCGGTCGGCGAGTCATAAGTAAAGGAAGATGCCAACCAACAATCCAGTGCTTACACATATGCTCACCATGGTGCTGGAATATGAATCCCAACATAAAAACCCCATATATAAATGAGCCAGTTTTATAGGTAAATCCGCCCGCACCAAAGGTGCTGGGGCGTGATCTTCCGGATGGCACTCGTAAAAGGTTACAGGTTTACCTGGGGGGGGGGGGGCATTTTTCGGCCAAAACCTCCTGTTTTTGATAGGTCGTGACGCTCGCCTTCAAAAAACACTGTAAAAAACAGTACGGAAGACACCTGTTCGTGAACGCGCCCGTCCAAAATCGGCAAGCGAAAAGTGAAAAAAAACTGTGTTTTTCAACTTTTTGACTTCAATTTTTTGGTTTGCAACATCTTTTTTTGCGGTTCCGCAGGTGGCCTGGCCCGGAGGCGGATTTTTGAGTTTTTGGACCCGTTTTCGGACTGATTTTCGTCGTTTTGTGATAGCAGAAACACTGGTTTTTACAGTGTTTTTCTGTTTTCTGCATGCTTG